GTTTTGTCCAGACGGCTCATGATGGGGCCTTTGGTTGGTACGATAGTAATCTTAGGGAGGTCCATGATCAGTACGAGCCTTTTCGGCATAAGGGGACTAAGACCTTGAAGGTGTATAAATTGTCGGGTTTCCTAAACGTTTCATGTTATCTAGGTGTTCACCAGTTTGGCATTTAAAGTCTGCTAAATCCGTTTGGGTGTTCCTAATTTGCTGAGTAACCATCCCAAGTTGACCCACGATGAGGTCTAAAGTCGCCTGAATATGTTCCGGATCCATGGGGAGGTGTTAGGGGACGTTAGGGGAGTAACAGGGTAAGGGACAACACGTAGACACTAAGATAATATGCTCCTAATGCCTCTAAATGATGCAGGAATGATCAGGACAACAAGCTACAACAAAGACCTAAGTTGTCCAAGTGTTTGGAAGGTTTCTAGAGTGTGGACAACACCTAAACACTAGCTTAGACTCACCTAAAGGCCACTAATTTGTGCAGGAAAAGTTTGGACAGCAAGCTAAAATGATTGTTTAAGTAACCTAGACAAATAGGGATATTATTGTGACAAGGACAACTCTTAAACAATGAAATATACTTACCCAAAGTGATGTAAACGGTGCAGGAATTTAATGGACAGCAAGGAAAAAAACAGTGAACTAAATTAACTAGGCAATGGTATGCATGCAAACGAGTTTTGGAAAGGTTAACTTGACTCCTAGGAACTTCTAGCACATGCAATATATGCTTGTCATGCTCTGATACCAAATATGATGTGAAGCATACATGTGGAAGAGTTGCTTTGGTTTGTAACAATAATTATTGAACATGAACGTTGCTAATTAGTAACTTATGTTTCACCCAAGTTAAATTCTTAGAACTTTTGTGAATAGATTAAGAAATGGCAAGCGGTTACAAGAGATTAGCAAAACAATCGCAATAACAACGAAAACAAGATAGTAGTACTAATAACAAATAAATAAGAATCCACGGTGTAACATCAAGATATAGTCACTAAGAGTTCATTCTCACTCAATCACTCTTAGGCTTTAGAGGAGGAGGAAGAAGCACACGAGAAAAGAGATTACCACTAGGAAGATGATATCGAAAACCTTCATTGATGGAGAGGTAGCCGAGGGTGAAGGAAGTTGTGGATGACCGACGATCATCAACTGGCCTGAACGGATGTGCTCTTTGATTGATAGTGTGAGGTGGTATAGGATGCGATCGATGTATCCATCAACGGTCTCTTCGTTGCCAAAGTACACGTCAAAGAATGGGGATCCAAGAATATCCGTTCGTCCTTGCTCGTCGAAGACAAATCCATGGTCGACCTCAGGGTCGGCCATCCATGGATGTGGAGGGCTCTTCTCTTAAACCAGTTGGGGCCGGTGGCTTGTGAAGTAAGAAGGGAAAAAGAGAGAGGAGGGGGGGGGAGAGGGAGGGCTGAAGGTAGACTAGGGTTGGAGGGGGAGAGGGGCGCCTATGGTGAGGATTTGGGAGAGATTTTAATTTCAAAATATGAAATTATGTTCAGATTTTAATTAGCTATTGTAGAAGACCCCTTGCCTACATCAGATTGTCCTTCGATTGAAAAGGCTCATCTCCCGATGAGGTTGCTTTAGATTTATTGCGAGGAGATGAAAGAGGTGCATCCAAATCTCAAATCTTGTCCGCATACTTTTTTAGGATCTCTTCTCGTTCATGCTTGAATTGATCCTGCAGAAATTTCTTTTTCATCATATATCGCTCCGTACATGGATGAATCTTCATCTGAAGCTTGTATAACTCGTTTTGTAGGGGATCTGTTGAACTTCCTTCCGTCGGAACCCATCTATCCATTGGAATTTGGACTTCAGAAGCTTTTGGTTGATTTTCTTCGACAACTGACTCAATTTTTGTCTTTTTACATTTTTTAAAACACTTAAAAAAACACGAAAAAACCTAGGAAGACACAAACCTAAGCTCTTATACCAAATTTGATGCAAGCAAAAATTATGATAAAAGCCTAATTTTTGCAAGCAAAAAGAAAAGCTTCCTACGAAATAGAAAATTACATGAAATACTAAAAATTAAACAAAATACGACATTTAAAACAAAATACAACTTTGATGGAAATAAAATGACGCTTACGACTTTATGACATAGAAATGACACCTAAAGTTGCTTTCATTCGTCGAGAAAAAAGATACAAGTGGTGTCGAACTTGCGGAGAGAAGAAAGAGGTTAGAAGCCGAGATGAAGAGAGGACAAGCTCGTAAGCTTTCATAGAAGAAGATCAGAAGAGGTGGAACAAGCTCGCAAGCCTTTCCAAGAAAATCCTTAGGTTTTATCCAAAAAATTCTTTCATTACATAAACTTTTTTTATTACAAAAACATCTCCAATTTATAGAGAAAAGGGGCTGCCAAACAGCCACCATAACCACTAATTAAATCCTCTAAATCATGTGAAATAGAAGGCCAAAAGTTCAGTCCAGAACAACATCCAAATAGCCACAAAGGGGGCCTGCATTAATTCCAAAACAGCTCCTAAATAGCCACACAAAAGTCAAGAAAAAGCAGCCACTGGACAAGCAGCAAGGGGAGGAAAACCGAAGGGACACAGAGAAGGGGAAAAGGCAAAGTTGAACTCCTTTTAATAAGCTAACAAGAGGAATACCTTTTCAAATTAATGAGCTAAACATAAGCTCAAGCATTTATGAGCTAGAACCAAGTAGCTTCCTATGAACATAGCCCAAATCCGAGCAGCCAAGGCCCAACCCGAGAAGAAGCTAGCAGCCCAAAGACCAAGGAACCCAAGTAGCTAGCACACCCAAAGCTTGCCAAGTCCAAGAGACAATGGAAATGTTTTGACCCCCCTTTGCCTACATCAGATTCTCCTCTGGTTGAAAAAGCTCATCTCCCGATGAGGTTGCTTTAGATTTATCCCGAGGAGATGAAAGAGGTGCATCCAAATCTCGAATCTTGTCCGCATACTTTTTTAGGATCTCTTCTCGTTCATGCTTGAATTGATCTTGCATAAATTTCTTTTTCTTCATATATCGCTCCGTACACAGATGCATCTTCATCTGAAGCTTGTATAACTTGTTTTGTAGGGGATCTGTCGAACTTCTTTCCGTCGGAACCCATCTATCCATTGGAATTTGGACTTTAGAAGCTTTTGGTTGATTTTCTTCGACAACTGACTCAAATTTTTTTGGATGTTTTTTATTTTTTTGCACTTAAAAAAAAACACTAAAAAACTTAGGAAGACACAAACCTAAGCTCTAATACCAAATTATTGCAATAAAAAATTAAGAAAACCCCTAATTTATGCAAGCAAATAAAAAGACTTCTTATGAATGTAGAAAATACACAAAATACTAAAAAATACGACAAACAACAAACTTTTAAACAAAAGATGACATTACAAACTTATGAAATAAAATTCTAAACTTGCATTTCCTTGAGAAGAAAGAAACAGTTGGCGTCGAACTTGCGGAGAGAAGAAAGAGATAAGAAGTCGAGACGAAAGGGAGGATAAACTTGCAAGCTTTCCTAGAAGAAGGAGAAGGGATGAAACAAGCTCGCAAGCTTTTCCAAGAATGAAGAAAAACCTCAGGTTTTTAGATCCAAAAATCTCTCTATAACATATTCTTTTATTTCAAAAACATCTCCAATTTATAGAAGAAAAGGGGCAGCCAAACAGCCACTATAACCACTAATTAAAACCATTAAATCATGGGAAATAGAAGGCCAAAAGTTTAAGCCAAAACATCATCCAAACATCCACAAAGGGGGCCTGCATTCATTCCAAAATAGTTCCCAAATAGCCACGCAAAAATTAGGAAAAAGCAGCCACGGGACAAGCAGCCAGGGGAGGAACCGAAGGGGCAGCACAGGGAATCGGGACAGCAGCCAGGGGAACCTAGACGGACAATTAGGAAACCGGGACAAGCAACCACTAGGGGACCAAAACAGGCAATTAAAGGGGGAAGGAACCAGCCACGGAAAGAAGAACCAGGAGGGGAAATCGAATGGACTCAAGGAGGGGGAGAAAGGGGAATGAACCAATCATAAATCCTATTTATGAGCTGAAAAAGTAGTAGCTTTAGTATTAATGAGCTGAATTAAGTAGAGGACATAGAAACTTACTAAAATTATAACCCAAAAAATTAGGCTCATGTTTTGACCCCCCCTTTGCCTGCATCAAAATGGCACCACTAAATTATGGTCATAGACAGAGCCTGTAAGCTCCCAAATGACACTAAATTCTTGAGATATGAATCAATAGGATATAGATTCAAAATTATCCCTTTAGACAAATATTCACCCCAAGTCTATGAGATACCCTTGGATGATGCAACCCATGGCTGCCGATAAGGATCCTCCTGTTAGGTTGGGTCGACTACCTCCTATGACTAAGTAGACCAGGAACCACGATGTCCCAGGATGACGGAATCATGAGATCTTGATTGGATCGATCATCCATTCCCCCACCATTTGCTTTAAGTGCAAGATGGTGAAATTTTCAATTTTAAATATCAAACTTTCAAATGCATAAACCAATGCTGCTACTATACACCGGATACCATGTATTCTTTACGTATCTTCTTGATGACTAGCCTTAATCGAAAGTTCTCTCTCGTTACCAGGAGTTAATTAACTGTAAGGGCTTGCATCTATAGGAAACCAAAACTCAGATCATAAAGTCCTCGCAAAATGAGGGTGAAATGTTTTGGCAGTGTCTTATCTATAAACCCAATATGCCTTATGAAAATTTACCCCGAAACTTAATACATCAAAACTCTACCGAAAGCATGGAGAGGCCGGGGCGTGAATTTTCGGAGCCCACAATATGTTAAATTGTTAGTATTATTATTATTTTTGTAAATGGGATCGAGTAAAATGGAGACTTAATATAACAAACCATAGTTTAAGTATGATCCTAGTTGCTTTTTTCATTCATGCTAAAGCTTTGGTTAAGACGTTTGGTGTAAAATAATAGATTTTTTTCTATATTATTCAGGGCTTTGATGTCAGCGGGTCAGATATTAGGTGGAGCGACAACATGGATAATTTGCAAGAAGCTGGGGTAAAAGTATACTTGGGGCATTCAATAGTTTGTATGGAAACCACTGGAAAGCGTCCTGATGCAATTATAATCTCAAGTTGTATTCCTAAAGATAACGAGGAGATTGTACATGCTGTGTCACTGGGAATTCCAATGTTGGTACTTTCTTTCACCTCTCCTGTCATATTGTGTTTAGTTTCTTTCTTTTATATCAATCTTATGTTGCTTGCACTCTACTGAGGTCCTTAGCATTTCGGATATTGTTTTTTACACTTCATGAAATACTTATCAATTATTTAATTTTGATTAGGTAATGAATGCTTGCGACTAGGAGTCATGTGTGCACCTTGGTCCATAATTTTAGAATCACAAGTCGTAAAGCATGCTGTTTCTGCCCAAATTTACTTAGTCTTTATCTGCCAGATCTTATGCCAAATTTGTCATCCGCTTGTTAGATGAAAGTTGGATATCTTCTAGAGTAAAATCATAATGTCTAGTTGATTTATAAATGATTTGGTTTGATGTTCCATGAAAAATTAGTTTCATCACACACATAGAGACAAAGGCTTGAAGTTAATAAAACCACTATAAATAGTTGTGTATTTATTGGTGTAGCTTTCTTTACTTATCTCATTTCAATCGCTAACATTTTTAGATCATACAGCCTTGTGTGTTGCTGTTATTTGCAACTTTCATATAAACATTTCAAATGAACATTAATACACTAATAGTATACTATAATTAGTATGGTAGTGTATACTACAATAATAGTAATAATAGTAGTCCTGTAGAAGTATACTATAATAGTTGTAGTACTGGTGTACCACGAGTTCTTTAGAGTGTGCACTGTTATATTATGTACTATTATCTTAAACACGTCAACATATTCGTGTAGGCATCTTTTAATGTGAATTACATGCTATTTTCTCAGCTTGTTATTTTGGCTTCTATTTGCAATTGCTTCCGCCCAGTATCTCTATAATAATCTTTTCTCAATGGAGTTGAATTTAGCTTGCACTGACAAACTCAGAATAAATAGCCGACTTCTTGTTTCTGTCAAAAACAGATATAAGAGAGACTCTTGGCTTCAAAACATCACTGAACAATACAATCTGATTGCTATTGCGGGGACTCACGGTACATTGACTTTACATAGAAAATTTTCTCATTGCCTTCAGATTTTCTATATATTAATCTGCTTCTGAAGTAGCTTTTTGAATGATTTCAAATGTACAAAGTGAAATAATTTAAGAAATTCTCCTCCTAGTAGGAAACACTGTGATCACAAAAGGGACGCAAACAAGTGTATTTCTGTCCTACGTCTCTCTTAGTTATGATTCAGATTTGGCTGGAGATTTTGCTGAGTTTATTGACCATTTAACATTCTCCATGATGCTTTTGGAATGAGGTCCTTTATTGGATACAATTAAAGTTCTCAAGCTGAGCTGCATGTTTTAGTGAAAACATGCAGGTCTTTAGTCATTAGTCATTACGAAAGCTTTCTTTAATGCTAAATCAAGCATAGTAATCATTTTTTTGGAAGGTGGATGAGTATTATTTTTTGACAGGTCTGGTTCAAAAGAGTAATCATTGAGGCTTGAAGTCACGCATTTATTTAATTATTTAAAATTTTACAAAATGAGATGCGTCTCAGTGCAATTTTGGGAAAAAAATGTCTCAAGGTGCATGCCTCAAGCATTTTTTATGAGGTATATGCCTAGGTTTGGCTTAAGCGTGTCTCACCTCTTCGGCTTAACCCGTAACCATCCACATATTTATTTTTTTATAAAACAAATATAAAATTAAAACTTTTAAACACAATCTATTACATTCACTCACGCACTCACCCAAAGCATCCCCCGACTTGCCATCCAGTTGTGTGCTACTAGCTTGCCGACGAACGTTTGGGGGTTGGACATCACCTCATCTCCTTCTCCTCTTTCTATTACACACTATTTTTTTTCGCCAAGTATTCTTCAACATCTTTAAAAATTTTTTCTTGAAATTTTTTAAAGTGTAATTTTTTTGTTGGAATAACTCCTTTTAATTTACATTTTCTTTCCTTTTTTTTTTTCCTGAAACCCTAATTTTTTGTATAAATATTTATTCTTCTTAACTTTCTATTCTAGGGTTTTGTAAAGCATATTTAGAGGCAAGAAAAAAAATCACGTTGGGTCATAGAAAAGTCTTGGCATGGGAACACATCATTCAAGTTGATGTGAGAGTTGGTGTCAAGATATGTGTTTACTTGAAATGTAATTATTGTGAGAAGGTGATGAAGGGTGGTGTAACTAGGATGAGGGAGCATCTATCTGGATTCCATAAGAATGTACAATGTTTCATATTGCCTGATACGGTGAACAAGAAAATCAAATAATACATGAATAAGTTGACAGTATCGAAGCATGTAGCATAATAATAGTTTGATGATAGACTTGATGTTTGTGGGAAAGTAAACTGCCATGTTATTTTCAAATTTATATTTCTATAATCAAATATTGTATAGAGAATAACATATCGTTTCAAAATATAGGAATGATGTTTGACTATCAATTTGAAAATAAAAATGAATTTATTATTTTTGTGATCAAATGTTGCATAAAGAATATCATACTATCTCAAAAGATAGAAATGATATTCAACTATCATTTTAAAAATGAAAATAGGTTTTAGAAAAACTTATCTTTGACCTAAGAGACTTTTTTCATACTTAGAGAACTAAAATAGGGTCTACTTTATGTTAGGGTTCTAAGTTTTTCATCCATGGCATTGTAGATGAAACCCATTGCAGGCTTTTTGTCAGCATCCACCATCCTTAAAATATGAACTAAAGGTCTAGTGGTTTCTGAGCTTTGCTAAGTGTAGAAAGCTCTTATTAGTGAAATTTCTAAAGAGGATCTTTGTAGAGTGAACATAGGTTGAGTTCGATTGAACCAACATAAAATCATGGTTTACTTTTTCTTTTTCTTCATTTTGCTTCATGCAATTTTTATTTTATGAAATATGTGATTTGATCATATTGTGATTGTAATTGTTCATAAGTTGTAATTATTTGGAAGAACATTTTCTTTGAATTAATTGTTAGTAATTCTATTGCTTCAAAATTTTAAAAACAAAATAAAAAAATATATTTTTATAAACCAAAGAAATTATAGGAGTAAGCATTTGAACAAGGAGCAACTATACATTTTTTAAAGGCTAGGTATTAAGTGACGTGGATAAGAGGACAATATTAGAATTCTAAATTAAATTTATTGAATAATATACAATGAAAACAATAACAAGCCTTTATCCCACTGTGGGGCTGGCTACATGAATTCTTTTCTTCCATTGTGTCATATTGAGAGTCGAAATGTCATTTAAATCTATTACAAAATGGTTATTTTTAATCCTTTCTATTCAAGTCTTTATAGGCCTATATTTATATTTTTTAACATAGGTCTGATCTCATACATTTTTCTTCTAATATGATCATCGGAAGTCTAACATTTTATATGACCGAAACATCTAAGGTTACTCTCTCTAATTTTATCTGCTAGTTGAGCTATTTCAAAATTTTCACATGTATACTCATTTCACATTCTATTTGTATGTAAAGTCACTCATCCACCTGAGCATCCTCATCTCTGCACTCTTAATTTTATGCTTCTCTTGTAGTGACCAACATTCTACACCATAAAGCGCTACAGGTCTCACCACCATCTTATAGATTTTCCCTTAAGTTTTTGGGGTACTTTTCTATCACACAATAGGCCCGATGCATTCGTCCACTTCAGCCATTCAACTTGAATTATACTAATAATATCCCTATCTATCTCACCATCATTTTTAACAATATATTAGAAATATCTACATTGTGCAATTTTTTTAATGGCTTGATCACCCAATTTCACAATCCCACCTCTAGATCTATTTCTACTAGAATTACTCCTCATGTATTTGGTTTTAGATCTACCAAATAAAAACCTTTAAACTCTAATGTTGACCTCCATAATTCTATTTCCTTATCGACTTCCTCGCTAGTCTTATCAACAACAAAAATATTATCATCAAAAAACATACACCAAGATACATCCTCTCACAATTGTCTAGTTTGAACATCCATGATTAAAGCTAAAATATATGGGCAAAAAGTTGATCCTTGATGTAATCCAACTGAAATGAGAAAATACTTGGTCAAACTACTTTGTATTTGAACGCAAGTTATAACTCCTATGTACATATCCTTAATGACTCGAATATAAGCATTAATAATTCTTTTATTTTCTAGAACTCTGAAAAACTGATGATCTTTTCGATTGGTGATTTGAGTATACCACATCATGGATTTTGATCCATGATCACATATGTAATATATTTCAATGGTCCAATTAAATAGAATAATACTAAGAAATGCTGTCATCTATAATTTGTAATAATTAGAAAATGATGAGAATTCTTTTCCATTTTTATGTGGTTATGCTTTCCTCTTTAAGAGATGCACTCTATAGAGTTCTAGAAAGGAAATGAGTTAATTACGCTTATATTCATGTTATTAAGGATTGCATATAGAAGCTAGTACTTGTGCTCAAACATAAAATTTCTTGACCAAGTATTTTTCTATTTTAATTCAATTACAACAAGGATCGGTTTTAAGCTCATATTTTTTTGCCTTAGTCATGGATGTTATTACTAGACATTTGCAAGAGGATGTACCTTGATGTATGCTTTTTTGCTTATAATATTCTCTTGTTGATAAGATTAGAGAGAGCGAGTTGATGAAAAACTTGAACTATTGAGGTCAGCCTAAGAGTCTAAAGATTTTCGTTTGAGTAGATCTAAAATCGAATGCATAGAGTGTAATTTTAGTAGTAATGGATTTAGTAGTGAGATTTTAACATTGGGTGATCAAGCCATTAAAAAGAGTGCATGTTTTAGATATTTCAAGCCTATTTTTGAAAGCGATAGTGAAATAAATGGGGATATTATTTATAGAATTCAAGCTGGATGGTTGAAGTGGAGAAGTTCATCAGGGCCCGTTGTATGATAGAAAAAGTACCCCTCAAACTTAAGTGAAAATTTAATAAAATTGTGATGAGACCTATAATGCTTTATGATGTAGAATGTTAGTCATTAAAAGAGAAGCATAAAATTAAGTGTTGCTAAGATGAGGATGCTCATGTGTTGAGTGGCTTTATACTTAGAGACATAATGTGAAATAAGTTTATACATGAAAATGTTGATGTAGCTTTAGTGGTAGGTAAGACTAGTGAGACTCGCTTTGGATAGTTTGGTCACATAAAACATTGTCCTTCTAACGACCCTGTTATGAGAGTATATGTATTATATCCGGCCTATGATAAGAAATGTATAGCTAGACCTAAAAAAATTTTGGTTAGAAAGTGTTGAAAATGACAATTTTTATTAGGTTTTAATACGAACCCGATTGGTTCAAGGCCTTTCATGCGTCTGAATCATGTAACTTGGTGTCAATAGATTCATGAAATAGTCCTTTAAGATTTGTCGGTTGTGTCAAATTTGTGCTAGTTATATGGGATTCTTACTAATATAAAAAGATTGAATGTGTCAGAGTGGGAAAACCTCTATTTTACTACTGTATTTCCTTTTTTGGTGAGATGTGACATGTTAAAGAATCTCATTTATCTCACCAATGAAAGAAACCTAATTTATGCTAAATGTTTTTTCTTCAGGAAAGAGTACTACAACAGCGATGCTATCATATGTTCTACATGCTATGGGGGATGATCTTATTGCAGTTGTTGGAGCTCATGTTCCACAGGTATGTTCTTCATGCCCGTCTGCAATCTTAAACTTCCACTTTCATTTTCCCTTTAAACATTTTTTGAGATTATGATGATTTTTCATTTATGAATTCTTGATAGTCTATTAAGATATGAGAATATGTAAAAGAATTTGAGTATATTTTTATTATCAATTCACTCAAGAGAATTAAGATTACCACTCAATTTGATGAATATTTAGCATTTTTCCCCATTAATCTTCTCCTTTTATCTTGGAGTTCAAAATATACTCAAGGAGAAACTAAGTTATGAGACATTGGTGAGGATACATTAACTAATGAATGATAATGAAATGAATGAAGTTGTTAAACTCTCTTAATGAGCAAACTTTGAAAATTAAAGTTTTCTCGATAAAGTTGAAGGCATTTTGAAGAGAGAGGAGTGCTAATGGTGATATTACCAAGCATGTTGACTCTAATTAATGATCCATCATCAGTATGCTTATATTTTACTTGATTATTTTAAAGAGAACATTAATGCTATTCTTTTTTTTTTTTGGAAATTTCATATTTCGTATATAATGTTTATATTGGCAAAATATGTTATGATGGTAATCAATACAAATGTTAATGAGAATTAATGAACTTGATTAAATATTAAAATTTAAGTGTAACTAATAATGTTTGTTTTTTTAATTATTTTTATGTCTTATAGAATGTATATGATATTATGCTTTATTATGTAATGCTCAACAACAACAATATCAAGCCTTTATCCCACTACGTGGTGTCGCCTATATGAATCCTTTTTCTCCATTGTGTCCTATTAAAAGTCAAATTCTCATTTAAATCTAATAAAGAAAGGTCATTCCTAATATTTTCTAACCAAGTCTATTTTGGTCTACCCCTACCTTTCTTAACATAAGTCAAATCTAATACCTCTACTCTCCTAATCGGGTCATTGGAAGGCCGCCGTTTTATGTGACCAAACCATCTAAGACAACTCTCTCTAATCTTATCTTCTACTGGAGCTACTCCAACCTTTTCACGTATATGCTCATTTCGTACCCTATCTCTAAGGGTAAAGCCACTCATCCACCTGAGCATCCTCTTCTCTGCCACACTTAACTTAGTATTATGCTTCTCTTTTAATGGCCAACATTCGGCACCATAAAGCATTGCAGGCCTCACTACCATCTTATAGAAATTTCCCTTAAGTTTGAGGGGTACATTTCTATCACATAACAAGCCCGTTGCATTCCTCCACTTCAACCATCCAACTTGAATTTTGCTGATAATATCTCCATCTATTTCACCATCACTCTGAACAGTAGATCCAAGATATCTAAAACGTGTACTCTTATTAATGACTTGATCGCCCAAAGTCACAATCCCCTCACTAGGTCTATTACTACTAAAATTACACTCCATATATTCCGTTTTAGATCTACTGAAGCGGAAACCTTTAGACTCTAAGGTTGACCTCCATAATTCAAGTTTACCTTCAACTCTCTCTCTAGTCTTATCAACAAGAAGAATATCATCAGCAAAAAGCATACACCAAGGTACATCCTCTTGCAAATGTCTAGTGAGAACATCCATGACTAAAGCAAAAAGATATGGGCTTAAGGCTGATCCTTGATGTAACCCAACCGAAATACGGAAATACTTGGTCAATCCACCTTGTGTTTGAACACAAGTAATAGCTCTTGCATACATATATTTAATGATTTGAATATAAGCATTATTCACTGCTTTCTTTTCAAGAACTCTCCATAGAACTTCTCTTGGAACTTTATCATATGCTTTTTCTAAATCAATAAATATCATATGTAGATCCTCCTTATTTTCTTTATATTTCTCCATCAAACCTCTTAATAAATGTATGACTTCCATAGTCGACCTACCCGGCATGAATCCAAATTGAAAATAATAATAATATGCGTTTTGGTTACATATTCTAAATTAATAATCTAGAAAACAGAAAATTATGTACAAGTCCTGTCATGTCCTTTTTGGTTGTATAGTTGTGGTTGTTTTGTGTCCTCTTCATGTCTACAGTCAATGTACATTCATAGAAAGCAATAGCAGCATATTCTAAGTAATTCTACTGCATTAAGTTACACTTATGATAATTATCAACTATCCCAGAAAAAGTAGTTGATTTGCTACCTCGGTGCTCAAATTAGGCAGATATTATGCTTGTGGGTAGCAAAACTTTATTTGCCAAAAGCCTATTTAAAATTAATATGACCTATGGGATGTTGTCTGTTTTGAATTTTTACAAAGGGTAATTATATAAGAAACTAAGAAAACAAAATATCTAATGGTGCAAGACAAACACCAAAAGTAAGTATCAATTAGCATTAACTAAGAAAAAAAAAGTCAAAATAGTTTCGATGCAAGAGAAAATTTATTTGTATAAATACAATATAGATAAAGAATGTTTACATGTTTTAATATCTTATTATACTTTAATATTGTTTAGAATAGAAAACTAGCTAAACCACCTAATCGTCTCAAAACCATGTTGTTTGGTCTTACAAAAGACGAGTAAGCTGTTGTTATTTAAAGTTCTTGGAATTTAGGGTCGCCATCTAAAGAAAATCCTAAGTGACCTTATTCTCCTAAATCTAAATGGAATTAAATTTGATTTTTAATTTTTTTCTAATACAATACATGTTAATCAAATGTATATGAAATCAGAATGCTTTAAAATTTTTGAGAAATGTATAAAAATATATTTTTTCCCAAAGGAGCAGGCCTTGCCTGAAATTGAATAGTACTCTTATAGTTTGGGTGGTATGAACCCAACCCGCTGCCAAGGAGGTGCCTAAACAAGAAATAAAAGCAAAATGTGCATGCGACCTAGGTCGATCTATGATTTACATTCTTAGAATGTTTATCTTTCTATATTATTTACTCCTAATATTTTTTATTTTGTTATGAGTAGATGGATTTGTATTTCTAAGACCATAGTGAAATATCCAAGCACAAACACATGTAAGAAAGAAATCTATAAAAATAGATAATTTCTACTGCATAGTCAATGTAAACAAATCAATCAAATTAAATCATCAGCTAAATGATAATGTCCAAAGTTCATGTGGCAAGTGTCATTTAATATACAATAAGTATAAGTTAAAAGTAAAGGTGGTCAGATTCCACCGAAAACAACCTAGATTTTACTCCAATGAAATGACATAAGTCTTTTAAAATGAAATCTTTTTATTTTAGTTTTCATTTCTTGTTCTTCAACTTGATTATTTTTTTCAAGCTCCTTGTGGTTCAATTTTTTTTCTAGGTTTCTTGTATGTTCATCCATTCGGATATTCAAATGAAAAGAACTCTCCAATAAACGATGTTTTTTTTTTCTCTTTGGATCCCTAATCCTTTTGGTAAAATGCCTCTTTGTATAGAGTTTCACAAATTTTTTAATGAATTACATTTTGAAAAATGAAAACGACTTTATACTCTATGTAAGTTAGTAAACAGCTTATATGAAATCCAAAACACATCACACCATAATCATTTCTCACTTTTGAGCAACCTGTAAGCTTGACCACGCTTTTAATGATTAAGTGGCTAAGCAACGAATGGACCGGCAGAAATTTGATTAGCTTTAAATCATAATTAGTTTTAGCCCCTTTATAATAATAGCCCTGCATAAGTATAACCACATGTAGAAAATGTGATTAACGATAAATATCCGGATCACTCATAACCTAGGAAAAATCTAAACGTCCATTGTAGATCACAGAAAAAATCATCAAAACATAGGCATCACAAAATCTATCACAGTAACTATAACAACTAACACTCATTTTCACACCAGTCATTTACATATTTTAGAAAGGTACAAAAAATGACTCCGGCCTAACCTAAAGCTTGAGGCTTTGCTATAACAAATAAATCTAAGTATGTGTAATAAGTTGTGTAGTTTGGGGATATCCTGAGTTTGTTATTACTTGAAGTTTTCTTTGGGTTGAATTTGGTTTGTTGAAAGCCAAAGGAACTTTTAGTTTAATTTAAGTTTTAGTGTTTTTAATATTTTTAAACTTATATTAGGATAGATTTTAATTATTGAAGTTGATTAATGATTAGTTATTTAGAGTCTTTTGATTAATCTTTTAAGTCTTTAAAGCTCTTAATCCAATACACATTTGCCTTCCTAAAAGGAGTCAAGCACAAGGATATGAAAGCTTCAAATGTCTAAGTATTTTATTATTGATTTATCAATGGTTATTTAGGTTGAATAGTAATTGTCTTCATTAAATAAGGGTTGTGAGGTTTATTTCATGCTCTGTAGGGTTAAGTTAATAGCCCCGTAAGCTTGGGTTACCCAACAATCATCTATTTATTTAAATTTTGATTGTTGGTTGTTGATTTTTAATTAATTGAATTTATTGATTACTAATTCATAAGATTTACAATTTAACGCCTACATTCTGTTAATTCATTCGTGGCGTTGTCACAACGGGCACGAGAACCTAAGCCTCCTTAAAACACGTAGTCCCGTAGCTCGAGGTATTCCAGCCTAAAAACTTTGTTGATAGAGCTACAATTGCTTTGTTCTTTATGTGATTGTTCTTTATTTTTGTTTATTAAGTTGGTTGATTACTGATTTTGTTTGGTGATTAGATGTGTATTATTTAATTATTATTTATTATTTAAGTTTGATTTTTTACTTTTGAATTATATATATATATATTAATGGATATGGTTAATTAGAATTTATGTTAAAAAAGTATTTTGTTTTTATTATTATTTAATTTAAATTTAGTATTTAGTTCATGCATTTTTAATTTATTTATAAATTCAATTTTAATTATATCTATATAATTAATTAATTTGATTAAGTGAATTTTATTTGTTATTTAAATTAATTTTGGTTTGTATATATATTTGATTGGTTTATTTGTTATTTAAGTTAATTTTGGCAAGAAAATATTAACACCATTTCCTCTCTAAATAACAACAACCCCAATTGTTTCTCTTACCATCAAAATTCTAAAAGAAACCAAAGACCATAGGTTTAG